GTTTGTTTTGATTTTTTTTTGTAGCTCGTTATTGACCCAATTCATGTGTGTGTGTGTGTGTGTGTGGATCGTTAGATTCGATCAGCATTAATTGATTTTAGTGGTAAGAGGAGTGGTGGTGGGGGTGGAAGAAATTTATTTTTTTTTATTAGATCATCGACCACCTCCATAAATATCAATAAATTTTTTTTGTTTTGTTTTTGACATAAAATCGAATCTCAACCCCTTTCACGTTTTTAGCCCCAGCTATTCACACACACACACACACACACAATATAGCTGTGATGTGAATGACAAAATGAATGAAATCGATACATTTGTTTTAGCCACATATAATAATATGTGGTGTAGGTAGTATTTTTGGCTACCAACCTACTACCACAATGAATGAGTGTAACAACATAAGGGGAAAAAATGAAGATATTAAAAAAAAAATCGAAACCAAAGATTTCGATCGACATATCAAACGACCGACCGAACGACCGACCGACCAACCGACTGACTGACTGACTGATTGACTGATTTACTGAATAAATCAATGAATCGACTACACGACACAACAACGATTACCACACACACACACACAACCGGTCGAAGATCGACCGGGGATAGTGTGAACCCAATAAAAATTTGTTTTATCCACTGTTAGCGTTTTTCTTCTTCTTCTTCTTCTACTTTTTCAAAACAAAATAGATCGCATTTCGATTTTGGAATATATAAGATTTCGATTTTTTTTTCTCTCTGCACTGTTGATCGATCGTCATCACAATGATGATGATGATGATGATGATGATGACATGTGTAGAAAAAAAACTGGGTGGATAGAATCGATCAATGAATCAATTTTTTGTCTCTCTTTTTTTTTGCTTCGTTTTTTTGACAACAGGTTATTTATTCATTTATTTTTTTTTCAATGTCAGAATTGACCAAATTCATTTGTTGATTGTTTGTTGAATTTTTTTTTTTTTGTTCGACATGAAATTTTTCTTCCATTCCATTCCATTCAATGTATGGACACCTATTGTTGAACCTATAAAATTTTTCTGTCTGTATATTTTCTCTGTGTATGTATGGCGCCCAATATTTTCTGGTGTTCATTATTATTATTATCATCCATACTTGTTTCTCATTGGTTGTTTCATTTTTTTCCTTTCAATTCTGTAAGAGGATATAAGCCACACACATTGCAGCAACAACAAAACAGTGAGGATGTTTAATTGAGATGGCGCCATACAATATACACACACACACACACACAACATCACAACAAGTAAAAGTCGCGCCCAAAAAAGAATTCAAGTAGAAATTTTTTTTTCTTGCTATATATAAATTCTGTTCGTGTCTGTAATTCTGTGTTGTACTTTATTCTTTATATATACATGTGTGTCTGTTTGTTGGTTCTACATGTTCCAAGAATGGCGCCCATTCAATTCTATGTTTTCTTTCATTGAATTTTTTCTCACACACAAATAATAATTATATTTATGTCATAAATTGTGGGTGTGTATGGGAAATAATTTCCGGATAAATAATTAAACGCAAACTATCTACCCATGTTGTTCTATGTGACATTTCTGTTTTTTTTTCCTGTATTCCAATTTTTTCGTTTTTATTTTCCATATTTGTACACAACAACAACAACAACAACAACAGCAACCATTGGCTTTGACTGACAAAATAGCACAGCGAAAAAAAAAAATCGATTGTGAAAACAGGCTGTCCAAATGCCGAAAAGTCTAATTTCAATGATGATGATGATAAACCCAAACGACGAAATTTTTCGAGTACATGAATGACCAATTCTCGAAAACTCCAAAACGCAATGACAATGAAGATCGACATGTAGTTTATTAAAAGGAAGAAGAAATGTCGTTTTCGCCAGGTTCAAACTTCTCATCAAGAAAACCAATAGATTTGGCTAATGCGATGTGTCGAGGTATTGTACATTGAATTCAACGAACTAGCAGCTGAACTAATCAATGAAGAGTCACTGCTGTCCATCACCGGTATTTGTTGAACAGGTAATTCATGACGCGAGCAGGCATTGAAGATGCATTGAAAAACTCGATGATTTTTGCGTCGGAACATCAAATCATTCCAAAAAGATTGGACGCCTTAGCTCAGCTGTTTGGCGAGAATCTGGCTATCAATCGAAAGTAGATCAATGTTCAGCTCGTTCATCTCTTCCAAGGTATGGCACACGAATGGAATCGCTGAAGCTGGACCTTTACGAAATCTACGTAAGTGGACCAGAAAAGTTGCGACGAGAGTGATACATGACGTTATTGCTTCTATTTTTTCTTTCAGCTAAAGATTCTGGAAGCCGTTCAAGCATAACTATCCGCTAGCATGCTGAAAGAAAAATTTCCATTCTCGGATAAATTCTGTTCGTGTCTGTAATTCTGTGTTGTACTTTATTCTTTATATATACATGTGTGTCTGTTTGTTGGTTCTACATGTTCCAAGAATGGCGCCCATTCAATTCTATGTTTTTTTTCATTGAATTTTTTCTCACACACAATAATAATTATATTTATGTCATAAATTGTGTGGGTGTGTATGGGAAATAATTTCCGGATAAATAATTAAACGCAAACTATCTACCCATGTTGTTCTATGTGACATTTTTTTTTCCTGTATTCCAATTTTTCGTTTTATTTTCCATATTTGTACACAACAACAACAACAACAACAAGAAAAGATAACCGTTCATCTCAGGTGCAACCATTGGCTTTGACTGACAAAATAGCACAGCGAAAAAAAATCGATTGTGAAAACAGGCTGTCCAAATGCCGAAAAGTCTAATTTCAATGATGATGATGATAAACCCAAACGAATGAACGAACAAAAAAAAATTGAATCTTAAGAAATGGGAACCAAACACAAAATACACACCCTTTACAGGATCCTAGGGCGCTTCAAGAACATTTCTTTCTGATTCGCTTTATTCGTTATTATTATGGACGCAATTGTGGAATGAAAGAATGGGGAGAGAGAGAGAGAAAAAAATCAATGAAAGTGGCGATCGAATCGATGTTCCTCTTGTGTGTGTGTGTGTATGTGTTTTATGCCAAAATATAGCCAAATAGAACATTCTGGTACATTTTTTTTGTCTCCATGATGGGTAGATGACTTTAGTTGGTTGTTCGCTTGCACTCATTTCTTTCACTCACTCACTCACTCACCCATTTCATTTTCATAGTCAGTCAGAATTTTTTTTTTCGTTTTCGTTGTTGTTGTTTTCCCACTCTTTCTGTCTGTCTGTTCATTGTATGGATCGATTTTTTTCCATCTTATCGTCTTTCGTATTCACCAACACCAACACCACCACCACCACCACCACTCATTCTTCGATTGATGATGGAAAATTTTTTATTTTCCCTTACATTCTACAACAGCAGCAGCAACAACAATCTTCTATCGATCGATCGATTTTATGAATATAATTCGTATATTCAAGAATATAAGACACACACACTATCTAGGGATTCGGGTCGTATTTTTTGTCCACATTCTTATTGTATATATGGAATTTATTTATTTTTTTTTTGGCATTCATTCACCTTTTCTCAATCTTTAAGAAACACGGTTATTTATTTCATGGAAATTATTGATAAATTTATTCATAAATAACGTAAACTAAAAAAAAATCCAGAATCCAGAATTCATTGATTGATGAAAAACCAAAGACGAGAACAAATTTCACAAATTCCACACACACACAGGCAACATGGATGACAAGATTCATTCATTTGTTCAAATGACCTTTTGACCAGATGATAAGATGACAGGCAGAATATTTATTTATATATATTATGGTGATAATGTCAACCTGAATTCAAAATGAATGAATCTTTGGAATACCAAACAACAACAACAACAACAACAACAAACACGCGCGCTTGGACAATCAATTGATTGACACACATTCAAACCTTGAAGCCTTTTTTATGTGGAAAAATATCTGAAATTCATGTAAATTCCAATGTTAAACTTGCTCTTTTTTTTCATATTCACGGTATTCTGATTTTTTGATTCAATCATCATCATCATCATCATCATTCCAAGCGAAAACAAGACAAAACAAAAAAACAAAAATTCCAAATGTTTTTATCTCTTTGCCTTTTTTTCGTGTGTGTGTGTTTGTAGCTAATTTTTTTTTTTTTTTGGTCAATTTTGAATAATGCTGACTTTGTTTCTGTTGTCCCTGTATGTGTGTGAAAAAAGGGTTAACTGAACCGTACCGTGAAAACGAATTTTTTTTCCTTTTGATGATGAGTGATGATGGTGATGGTCACACAACTATGATCATCATCATCATTTGAATTATTGATTATTTTTCGTTGATTAATCTAAATTCTGTTGGTCCATTTTCCATAACCGTCTGTCTGTCTGTTTGATTGATTGTTGGTGGTGGTGGTGGTGGTGATGATGGTGGTCATTGTTGCATAAAATAAAATTAAAATTGTACAAAAAACAACAACAACAACAACGATAACATTCATCAACAGAATTTTTTTTTTTTTTTTTTTTGGTTATAGAATTCTCTATCTGTGTGTGTGTGTGTGTGTGTTTTTTTTCTTTTGAGTTTCTGGTTTATTAATTATTATCATTCATTTTGTTCTTTCTCTTTTGCTTTGGTCAATATTAGCCTGAAGCGATTCTTATGTGGCTATAGCCCATGTTATTATGGCTAATTTGCTGCTTTTTGTCCAATATTCTCTTGTTATTTCAATGGTTGATGATTATGGTATTTTGTTTTCTACATTCATTCATTCACATCATCATCATTTTTGATTCGATTCATTTATTCAATTAGCTTTAGGCTTATTTTTTTTTGTTCGTTCATTTTTTTCATTTCATTTCATTTCAAAAATTCTTCATAATTAATAATTATAAAAAAGAATTTTTTTTTATCCTTACCATTGATTCAATTGTTTATTATTGATTGATTTATTTATTGATTGATTGTTGTTGTTGTTGTTTCATTTTTCTTATAGCTTGTAAACGTAAAGAAGAACAACAACAACAACAACAGCAACAACAACAACAACAACAACCTTGTGCAATGGGTGGTAATGGTACAAATGGAAACATGGCCAATGGTTCGATTTTAAATAATTCATTAACAATGATTGGTGGTGGTCCATTACAATCATCAAATTCATTAATAGGTATCCATCCTCATTCATCATCATCAACATCATTATCATCAACAACAATAACAGCAACAACAACAACAACAACGACAACAATATCATCATCGACAACAAATAATTCAAATTATAAATCATCACATCATCATCAGCAACAACAACCACCGAAAAAACCACGTTTAGTTTTCACCGATCTACAAAGACGTACATTACAAGCAATATTTAAAGAAACAAAAAGACCATCTAAAGAGATGCAGATTACAATTTCACAACAATTAGGTCTAGAATTATCAACAGTTGGAAATTTTTTCATGAATGCACGTCGTCGTTCACAGGATAAATGGATGGAAGATCCACCACCATCATCATCGGCAACAACAACAAATAATGGTAATGGATCATCATCAAATGAATCAACAGCATCGAATAATACACATAATAATAATCATAATGCTCAACAACAACATTCTACACATCATTTAAATAATAAAAAAATTCTTAAACATCATCAACATCAACATCAACAACAACAACAACAGCAGCAACAACAACAACAACAACAACAACAACAACAATCAATGAATAATGGTTCAGTACCAACATCTGTATTGACAATGGGAACAAATGTTATTGTTTCATGTTAATGATTTTTTTTCAATTCTTGTTGTTGTTGTTGTTGTTAATTGTGTGTGTTTTTTTTTAAATTTTGGGTAGCCATTTTCACCACCACCAATACCTTAGTTTATTTGCAAATTTTAAAATAGGAAAATGTTATTATTATGATAATAATGAAAAAATGACAACCAATGAACCAATCAATCAATATAATATATCGATTAATTGATTCAGTTCACAACAACAACAACAACAACAACAAAAACTAATCATCACCACATACACATGGAAATTAATGTCAATTTTTTTTCTTGATAAAATTCTGTAATTTTTATTTAACTAATTTTTAAAAATGAATGAATTGTAGAAATTGTTTTTTATTGTTTTCAGATTTTCAATTATTTTGTAAATAATTCTTCTTCTTCTACTTCACTTTGCAATTCAATCAACATTTCATCGATAATTCATCGACATTATTGATTTCTTTCTTACACTTTGAATTTTTTTCTTGTCCTGTTTTTTTGTTCAAAATGTTTGCTTATTTTTTTCGTTTCGTTTTTCGTTTATTTTCTGTTTGTTTGTCTTTCTCTCTTTATCTCATTCTCATATTTACTTATTAACTTTGATGATGCAATAAAATCAAATTCAAATCAAATGATCAAATTATTAATTGTTGTTTTTTTTGAAAAAAAAAAATTCTGGCCAAATTTTCAGATTCTGTTGTTGTTAAAGAATTTGAAAAATACAATTCATGATGTTGACAGCGCCATCTAAAAAGTAGAAAATGTAAACAAAAGAGTTTTTTTCGTAAAACCCAACAGATGTCGCGTTGTTTATTTATTTATTTTTTTTGTTGTACACATTAATCATTCGAAAATGACTTTTGGGAGCAAAAAAAAAAAAAAAAAAAAAAATTTCAACATTCAGATTGAGATTGCCATTTAGATTACTATTTTTGATTATTTATCGAAATTGAATCGAAATGATCACCAGATATAATTCCAGATAATTTTTCTATTTCTCTTCAAACTCAACAAATATTATCGCCTTTTTTATGCTATATGCACAACATTATAATAATTGACTTTTTGTTTGTTATTTTTAGCATTTTTATTTTATTTTATTGAGAATTTCCCATTTTCAATAATATTTCTATGGAATTAATTAATTATTATAATAATATTTCATGTTTGATGTGATAATAATTCATTATTTTGCACAAGTGGTTTGTGTACTTGTGTGTGTGTGTGTATCCAATTTATTTGAATAATGTATGGATACAGTATCCACACACACACACACAACTCTTTCGCTACAATGTGATATGATGATGATGACCTTGATAGATTTATCCTTTTCTCCATCTCTCTCTCTTTTTCTCATTTTTTTCCTTTTAAATGTAGCTGGGTTTTTTTTTGGTTGTTCATAACGGTTTTTGTTTCATGAAATTGATAGAAAAAAAAGGAAATGTAATCAAAAAAAAAAAAAGAAAGAAAAAAATTTCAGTTTCCTTTTTTTTCTCTTTTTCTTCATGTTGCTGTACATCATCATCATCATCATTATCATTTATATTATTATTATTCACAATTGAGAATTATTTGTCATCAACTTTTGCCTGCGATTGATGAGATGATAAAAATCGTTTGAATCATTTCAATTCATTGATGATGATGACGATAGATGGCGGTCTAGGGTCGGTGAATTTTTTTTTCTATAATTCGAACAAAATACATAAAATTCCTTCATCATCATCATCATTCATTCATTCATTTCGTAAACTATCAAAATTTTCAAATAAAATTTCAATTTCCAATTTATTTTCAAATTTCACATCATCATCATCATCATCATCATCATCATCATTTTGTTCCTTGTTGTATACCGCGGATGTATATGTGTTGGTCCAAACAACAACAAACACAAGAACAACAATCAAACAATTTTTTTCCCATCAAAAACACGCACACACACACACACCCATAGACAATATTGTTCCAATCATTCACCATTATATCATAATGATGATGATGATGACGATCATTTTTTTTCGCATATTAAAAAAATTCAATTTTGCCTTTTTTTCCCCTTCCCGCCAATAATTTAAATTACGAAGTAACCAATCAAATGTCATTATCCATGGATGAAAATAATGATATGGATGCCAACGGCAACAGAGAAAAAAAAAGTAAAAGTGGACGAACAACAACAACAAAAAAAAAAATCAACTTGTCAACCAATTTTCTTTTGTGTCTGTTTTTACAGATTGTGGCTGAGAATAATGACCGATGATCAATAATAAATGATGATGATGATAATAATAATGATGGCAAAAACATGCACACACACACACACACCTATTGGTGAGGAATTTATTTGTTTACCATCACCATCATCATCATCATCATTATTATTATCATTGTTAAAAAAAAAGTTGTTTCCAGGTAGGCTATTGAAATGAATTTTTTTTCTTCTTCTTCTTCTGTATTTCATTTTCATTCTTATGAAGATAAGTTGTATCGATTAATCATTTTAATAGTGATGGTGGTGGTGGTGGTGGTGGTAATAATTGTTATGGAATAAAAGCAGTGAAAAATGATTGACAAACGAAAAAAAAATATATTTAATATTTGAATGTTTCACCAGTTTTTCAATGGCTTTTTGTGAATTGTCTTTTGCTATTGTTTTTCTGTGTGTATGTGTGTGTGTGTGTGTGAGTGTACTTTCTTCAATTCAAGTTCAGGGTTTGAAATCAGAAAAAAAGAAGAAAGTTGATGATGAGATTGAAGACAAAATTTAAACAATAATAATGCCCATCTAATCAATCAATCATATTCATATATATATTCATATTTACCCGTGAAATGTATTAGAAGAAAAATGCATTTTTTTGCAGCATTCAAATCTATATCGATTTGAATAGAAAAAATACATTGATTATATATGATTGATTTTATTGGCACAACCACAATAATAATCGAATAATGAAAGAATTTTGTGCAAAAAAAAAAAAAAAAAATCAATTTGTTTGTATCCAAACAACAACAACAGAAAAAAAGTAGCAAAAAAAAATTGGTTGTTAATTATGGAGATTGCGCATTAGCATTCATTTTGATTTTGGATACAGCAACATCAAATGTCCACATACATATATATATGTAGATGTATCAAACTCTAGCTAGTTATTCAAGCTTTCTTTTTGTTTGTTCGTTTGTCGTATAATTATTCAACCAATCTGTCTATCGCCTGCTGCTCTCGTTTCAATTGAATCAATTTTTTTTTTTTTGGTTTGTATTCAACTAAATTTTGTCCATCCTTAATCCAACATGAATAGGATGAAAAATAAAAATCAAAGTTCCAATGAATTGATCAAATTAAATTAAAAGCAGCAGCAGCAGGAGCAACAACAACAACAAACCACAGCTAAAAAAATTAATTGAAATTGATAGAAGCGAGAAAAAAAATGTCAAGAATCAACAGAGTGGTTGGTTGTGTAACCAGAAACAAACCGACCGATCGACCGACCAATAAACCAAAAAAAAAAACCATCAACCAGTGTTTAGTGTAACCAATTTTTATATATTGCTGTCGATACTGTAGCATGAATGAAATGAAAAAAAAATCAAGAAATATCCAGTTCATCATCATGATGATCATCATCAAAAAACAACTGGAATAATAATAACCACCACATATAGCACTGGGAGTTGTTGTGGTTTTTTCCTATTCTCTCGTCATGATTTTTTTTTTGTTGCCCTATCTCAATAGCTATTGCTAGATTTGTTTGATGATTTGATTGATTGATTGCTATTTATATGTGTGTGTGTGTGTGTGTGTGTGTGTGGGTGTATGGACGGATGGATGGGTGGTTCATAAACAAATGAATAGCGGCATTTGTTGATTTGCTATAAATCACACACTTATTCACCAGAAAATGTAAAAAAAAAAATCAAGGAAGAAGATTCACATACAAACGCACACACACACAAAAAAAAAAAACATAAACATCACTTTGGTGAAAAAACAAAATGAACAACAAAAAACAAAATTATCAAGTTAAATTTATCATCAATACGATGATCAAGATGATGAACATTGGATGTGAATAACAGTGAATAAAAAAAACAAATGAAAAAAAAAGAAAAAGAAAAACTAAATAAATAATGAAGAAAAGAAAAAATAACGAACGAACATGATTAAAACAAAAACAAAAACAAAAATTTGTATACATTTGAAATGAATTGCATTTGTATTGCGCGCCAACAAAATTCTACAACAAAAAAAAATATGTTCATGCGCATGTGCATATGGAAATTTGTTATGGCTACATTTGTACACTAAAACAAATAGACCCCCATTTTGGGAGTAGACTTTATACGATCAAAGTAAGGATCGAAAGTCAAAAAGAAATACAAAATGGGAGGAGCTTGAAATCACTTACGTACATTCCGTAACCACAGTAACGTATTTTTGAAGAAGAAAAATTCTGAATACAAGAAGCGGAATATCATCAATTTCGCTAAATGGATTTTTGAGGATATAATTTTTGTCCATCGCAACACCATTCCTATATTGTTAACTGTTCTAGACACTTGGTTTTTATCTCCAATGATTTTTTCAATTTTAGTGATTTATTATGTTTTGGTTTCCTTCCTTATCGCTATATAATATGGAATAGAAGTTTCTTTTATTAATAAAATTTCATTTCAATTGGAATTCTTTTAATACTTATCGACTGTTTCTCAGAATATGTCCCTTTTCAGTTTATGGATTAAATCAAGCCAAATCTTTAAAATTTCAATAACGAACGAACATGATGAAAACAAAAACAAAAAAAAAAATTTTTGTATACATTTGAATTGGTGTATTTGTGCGCGCCAACAAAATTTACAGCAAAAAAAAAATGTTCATCATGCGCATGTGCATGTGCATTTGTTATGGCTACATTTGTAGCATAGCATATAATATAAACAACAACATTTACAACATTGTTTTCGAATTTGTACATGCGTACACATGAGTATATATTATATACTGTATATATATTTGAAAAGTAGAAAAAAAAAATTATTATTCTTTTCATTTCATTTCGGTTCGGTTCTAGCATTTTTGTATATACGCTACTACAAATAGATAATTTTTTTGTTTTGTTTTTGTTTTTCTTCTTTGTATATATATACAAGATGCCAATATACAAAATAAAATAACGACAACGACAACAGCGACAAAAAATTTCTGCTATCCTCAAATTCTCATCATCATCATCATCATCTTGTCTGGCTGGTTGGTTGAATGAATGAATGAATGGATGGATGGATGGATCATCATCAGCTCAACAGCTTCCCCTTTTTTGTTTTGTTAACAAAATTTATATATTTAGAAAGAGTTAGAACTTGTGAAAGAAAGATAGTGGGAGAAAAAAAAGAGAAAGAGAAAGAGAGGACTGTACTGATGATGCGCAAAGTGTAGCAAAATTTTCTGTTATTGTAGCCAATATAATATTTTGTAGCGTTCGTTCAGCAGTGGTAATATGTGTATACAAAAAAAATTTTTTCTTTCCAACCAGCCAAAAAAAAAAAAAGTTAGATTTTTGTGGTCGGTTATGGTGGTCGCCATTCATGTGTGTGTGTGTGTGTGTGTATCCCACAGTATGTAAAGTTATGTACGATGTAATAATAACCAGAACCAAATTTGAAATTCAAAAAGAGAAAAGAGAGAGAAGAGAGAAAATCTTCATCATTTCACAATGTTTCTGCTATTGCTACTATCACGAACAAACAAAAAAAAAATGTAGCCAAAATAAAATGTGATCTTCAGTTATTTTTTTTTGGCTACATTTGAATTGAATTCTGTTTAGGTTGGTTGATCTTACATACAACAACATAGGAATTGATGAAAACAAAACAAAAAAAATTTGAATATTTCGCGCAGACAGACACAACCAACCAACAAAAAAAATCAACAAAAAATCACAGAATAATTTTAAATTTTGAAATTTTTTTGTTTTGTTTTCATCGCCCCTTCATCATCATCATCATCATCATCAGTTTAAACTACTACCCGAACAAACGATTCATGACATTGTATGAGAAAAATTGAAAAAAATTTTTTTTTCGTTTTTAAAAAATTATTTGACATTTTTGACATATGATGTACGAATATGATGATGATGATGAATTTGAATGGAAAAAATATGATTCTGTGATTCATTTTGTCAACTTTTTGTTCGTTCTGGTAAATTTGTTGCATCCATACATCATCATCATCATCATCATTATATGGATAAAGCGCATAAAAATTCTGAATATTTCTTCATCTATCTAGCCATCTATCTAATATGGTTTTTTGATTCTGATTTTATCTGATTTTTAGTCTGATCCAGAAAACAAAATTTACTGCATTCATTCATTCATTATCATCATCATCATCATCATCATCATCAACAACAACAACAACAAAAAATTTGCATGTCATCTCTATCGATTGGCTCAATATATGTTTTTTTTCCCTGTTTCATGTTGAAATTCATCATCAATGTATCAGTGTATATGTGACGAGTATATGATACATTTTTGCTACAATTTTCAAAATACAAACTAAAGTTGCCGTATTCATTGGTGGTTATTACCACCGTGGCAGCACTAATAATAATCATCATCATCATCCAACCTCTTCATCAATCATTGTCAATCAAATCAAACTTATTATTTAACCCTGAATTTGTTTGTTTTAATTCAACTTTCTCCAATGATTACTTTACAATAAACATTGCCAATCTGTTTTTTTGTATATATTCAATTTCATCACATCAGATCAGATTGAATGATATTCTCATCTTTACCATTATCAATCATTGACCTAATCATCATCATCATCATCATTATCAACGGATCAAATTGGTAATTTAAATCAGATGAATATACATCGAATGATTATGCTGATATAAGAAAAAAAAAACAGTAAGTGTTGAAATTCTATTTCTGTGTAAATTTTTTCTTTTCACTGTTGTTGTTAGTGTAGCTGAATTTAAATTTTAAATTTTTTTTTTTTTGCTACCAATCAAATGAATGAAATTTCTGGGTGTGTGTGTGTGTGTGTGTTCGATATTTACACCTTAACATTAGCTTAGTTTTGGTTTCACTTTTTTTTTGTTGTTTTTAGTTTTGCAACAAGTTGTGAATTTTTTTTCTTCTTTTTCTTCTTTTTTTCTTATTATTCGTCATCATTCAATTTGTTTGATTTGAGATTGATTTTTTTTTCATTGAATTAATGGCAAAGAAAATGAATTCATCATTGGTTTTCATCATTTCCTTTCAGGCTTTTTCACACACGTTAACTAACTAATTGCAAAGAAAGAGAAAGAGAGAGATGGAAACTGAAATGAAAATAACGTTGATCAATGTGTAAAAAATACAATGTCCATGTATAGAGGATGGCAATTTTGTTGATAATTTTTTTTCAGTTTTTATCCAATGGCTACATACATGTAGCAAATTTTCATTCAAACACACACATACACACATACAGTTATGAGCAACAAGTTGATTTTTTTTTTTTTTTTTTTTTTGTTAATGATGATGAATATGATAATATACCGGTCTTGTGCTGTTAATAATTCCAAGAATTGGAAGAAAAAAAAAATTTTTTTTTCTCATTTTCCATTTTATAATCAAAATGAGAGAAAAAAAATTTTCAAGAAAATTTTTTTTTTTTTTGCTGTTTCGCATTACAACTACTATGGCGATGATGATGATGATGATGATACTGGTTGGTGGTATAATATCATCAAACCCACAGAGCAAGAGAGCCAGAGTCAAATGAGTGATTGAGAAATTTCAATTTTAATTTTTTTTAATCTAATTTCCCTGTTACTATAAATAATAACCAATTTTTGTTGTTGTTGTTGTTGTTGTTGTTGCTGCTGTTTTATTTTTCCTATTTTGATATTTCTGGTAGATTGTCCTTCAAAAACAAATAATGAATATATATAAATCCATCATCACAATCAATTTTCGTTGTTGTTGTTGTTGTTGGCATGGCATGGCCATAATATTGGTTTTTATCATCATCATTTGTTTTTTGTTTTTTGTTTTTTTTCACACGTACATTTTATTATGGTTTCAGTTTTTTTTTCTTTGGTAATAAATGTGATTATTATTATTATCTTTCCATCTCATTTTATTTGCACTAGATTATTATCAATGTTTAATTTACAACTAAAAAAAGGTTAAGTGTGAATAGTAGTAGTGGTAGTGATGGTAGTGGTATTAGTCCATAGTCCTAATTTTTTTTTTTTTTTTTTTTGCTAATCAATAAAGTACATTTAAACGATAATGTTACAATTGT